AAAATAATACAACCATTACAGTAAGCAACAGGACAACACGAACGAGACGCACAGCGAGAACGAAAGCGAGGAGAGCGAGGGAGAAGAGGGGGGGGCGCGAGGAGGGCGGGGAGAATGACGCGCGGAGGGTGCGGAGCGCACGAACGGTGGACACGGAGGGTGGAGCGCACGAGGCGGTTGGTTGGTCGGGCGCACTCGCGGACGTCGGCTGCACAACAGCGAAAGGGCGCTTACGGCACCCCAACCGTGCTCGTCGACGCCCCCGCAAAGCTCGTCTTGACGCCCGGCCCAAGCCCAAGCCCGTCCTCGAGCCCGAGCCCCAGCACCTCCATCGACGCGCTGGGGAACACCATGAGCTTGAGCCCGGGGACGATCGGCGTCGGCGGCGCCGCGCCCGCATGCGAGGCGTCCGGCGCCGCGACGGGCGCGATCTGCGAGAGGCGGAACGTGTTACTGCGCCGCGTGGGCGGCGCGGGCGCGGGCGCGGGCGGGCGGAGGGAGTATCTCGCCTGTCCAACACGCGTCAGTTCGGATATAAGAACAATAGCAATAGCACGGAGGGAGCACGCACGCGCATTGCCCGCCCCCTCATCTGCACGAGCGGGATTATCAGCACGAACAGCGCGCCGACGATCCTGCGCTCAATCAGCCTTATGTTTATTTAGAGAAAGATGGGGGGGACACGTACGCCGTCTCGATCCCAAAGACGCGGAAGCCGCCCTGCGCCTCGAGCCACGGCGCCTGGAAGAAGACTATCGCGAAGCCCGCGATCGTGCGGAAGAAGTTGAACAGCGCGCTCACTTCGCCGCCGTGCGCGGGGAAGCAGTCTTGCAGGTACGCGTCTATGGGTGGGTTAGTTGTCGTAAATCATCAAGTGGGAAGCAGGAAAGGAAGCGCCGCGCGTTCAAGCAGGTGCCTTCAAGCAAGTGAAAGTAGAAGCGAACAAAGAAAGAAAGCAAGAAAAACAAAGACGCACATATCGCCGTCGTATTAAGCATGATTGCGACCTGCCCGATCCCCCAGCCCATCACGACCTCCGGCAGGCTGCGCACCTGGATGCCGTGCCCGAGCAGGAGGAAGCCCGTGAGATACAGCGGGAGCGAGACGTAGCACATCCTGGGGGTGAGCGTCAGCGAATGGGAGGGGGAGAACTGCACGACATGAGGAAGGTAGCGAAGAGAGACCGACAGAAAGGAAAAGAAGAATCAACACCCTAACACGGACGCAAACATCCCACCACCCTCATCCGCAAAAGACCGAACAGAAAGACACAAAATAAAGACCCCCGCCTGAGAAAACGGAGGGAATCGAAAAAAGGGCGCGCCTCAAAAAAAAAAAAAAAAAAAACTCCAAAAACTCGCTCAAGAAACTCGAAACCCCCGCCCCCCCAAAAAAAAACATCACCAAAACGCACCACAACCGCACCTCGGCCTCGAACACGCCGCGGTTCCGCCGGATGCCGATCGCGGCGAACACGTCGTTGCCGTACCGGCCCGCCACCTCGCCGATGAGCGTCGCGACCTGCGAATTCGTTAGTGGGGAGCTCGAGTTCATTCGAGGAGCTGAGGCGAACGAGGCCTAGAAGGAGGGACGAGGAAAGAGAAAAACGGAGCCAAGGGACGAAAGAGAACGAAAATGGAGCCAAGGAACGAAAGCGCGCCGAGAAGGAAAGGTAAGCAGAGCATGAAGCAAATCTAGAAGCGTAATATTACGGACGGGTCTAGCCAAAAAATCATCATGAAAGCAAAATGTAACGAAAGCTCCCGACTCGACCCCGACGAAGAACAATAAACCAGAGCCAAAAAAAAGCCGAACGAAAGAGAGGAAAAGAAAGCCAAAAAAAAAAGCAAACTCAACCAAGAACTCGAACATGAAGAATTTAATCAAAAAACAAAACAGCCCGCAAGAAGAAAAGAGAGATATAAAAACCACTCACGATCGGCGTCGCATACATGGCCGCGATGCCCGTCTGGCTGAGCCCGAACCCCGCGGGCGCGGGCGTGCCGAGAAAGACCGCGTTCGTGATCGTTATGCCTGCGGAGCGCGCGGGTTAGTTCGTGGTTCGTAATAATAGGGGAATAGGTGGGAAGAGGAACCAGCACGCACCGATACTGTGCCCGAACTCGACGCCCTGCGGAAAACAAAAAACAATAAACGCGTCAGCACGGTATAGGAATCCACAACCACAACCACACCGATCCACACCGCTCCGCTAGGTCCGCTCCGCACACCCCCAGCCACATATCCGCCCGCGTCCAGCCAGACGCGATCGCGATATCCATGCGCGTCTAGTCACCGTCACGCGATATACTGTACGTACCCCCACACACACGCCACGCATCACATGTGCACAACACGTATGTCATACAACTCCGCAAACCCCGCCTCCGCAAACTCCGCCCTCCGCAAACCCCGCCCCCCCTTAACCCCCCGCTCAACCCCCCTTGAAAAAAAAGCGAGAACAACGCACCCCGAAAACCAGCACCCCCAGCGCCTGCGGGCGCCACACGACGCGCAGCGGGCCCGCGACGCACGCGGCCCAGCTGGGGCGCAGGTGCGCGCGGCGCGCGCCGGTGAGGCCGAGGAGCGTTTCTGCGCGGGTGCGGAGGTTCTTTGCGGAGGGGGGCGGGGGGCGGAGGCGGTCGTATAGCCTGCGGGGTTAGGTTATAAGTAAGCGAGATGGGATGAAGTGAGGTGAGGGCAGCAGGAAGCAGGGAAGATGGGGCGGACGACGGCGAATGGTTGAATGGTTGAATGGACGGAAGGGGAATGATGGGACAGATGCAGGGACGATGAAAACGAAAATAAAAATAAGAATAGAAATAAAAGAAGGGGATGATGGATAGACGGAGGGAACGTAAGCGTAAAATGAAGGCAACGATGAAAGGCACGCGAGAAACATGTTAGTCAGCGGGGAGTCGTGATGGGTGAGATGGGGGAAGGGAAGGGACGCACGTCTCCTCGCCCCAGACGACGATCATGAGCAGGACGCCGAGCGAGTAGAGCGCGCCGACGACGTAGGCCCATTTGTAGCTGTGCGCGAACGAATATCAGTTAGCATCGATAGAATATAATTAAAGAGAGGAAGGAAGGACGGTACGCACTCGACATGCGCGACCATGAACCCGAGGAAGAAGGGCGAGAGGAAGGGCGAGACGATGAAGCCCATCGTCCATAGATTCAGCTGCGTCCATCAGCCCCGAAAATAAACACGCCGCCGGCGCACGCACCTTCCGTGCCTGCAGATGAAACGGGTACATATCCGTAACAGTATACAGCCCCGTGATCTGCGGCGCCGTCGAGAAGAACGCGGCGATGCAGCGCGCGGCGGCGAAGGTGTTGAGCGTCGGCGCGAAGGTGCAGAGCACGAGGAACGCGAGCGCGAGCAGCTGCGAGTGGAAGAGCACGGGCAGGCGCCCGAGGCGGCGCGTCGTCGTCACCGCGACGAAGCCACCGATCCCGAGGAGGAGGATCGCCCAGTTGGACGAGATGGCGTTGATGTGATCTGCGGTCGTGTGATACTCGGCCGCGAGCGGGAAGATGGAGGCGACGCCGATGGAGCCGACAAAGTCGGGGACGATGCTCGCGAGCGTTATTATGAGCAGCTGCAGGTTCTTGCGTGCGTCGGACCACTGCGGCTGTGTCAGCGTAAGAAATTACAGAGACGCGGACGCACATTCTGCGGGTCCTCCGGGTCGGACGTGGGCTGCGGCCAGAGGACGTGCCGGCCGTCCGCGGAGAGCTTGAGGCGCGCAGCGACGGCCTTGCCAAACGCGCGCTGCGCTTCGGCGGGGTCGACGACGAGGCGGCCTGCGTTGCGCTCGTGGTAGCTCAGCAGGTCCGCCGCCGTCTGCGGGACCTCGACGGCGTCGGCGTCTTCAGGCGCTGGCATGGGGCGGGGGGGACTGTGGGTGCGGAAACCGAAAAGATTGCCGAGCGGGATGATAAACCGATAACTAACGCCCAGTGAATCAGCAGCGCTTACTCTGATAACGCCTGACAGCACACAGACTCACCCGAGCACGCTGGGGCTTCTGCAGACGAGGCTACGCAGACGACGCAGGAAGAGATACGGCGGCTGCGGCCATGGGAATCGCGGTCCTCTTTGGGGGCGCTCAGGGGTAGGAGAGTGCGAACGGGAAAGGGACTTTGGGAGGATCAGGACTGGATCAGGAACGCCCGCGGAACCTGATTTGCTGACACTGATGGCATCAATGAGTCCTCGATCATTGACACGACGATCACGTTGCCACGCAGTTCAATCTCGCTGGTCGCGATTCGGACTTTGTTCAAACAACAGCCAAACGACAGCTACGGAATCATTCCCTCCGCAGCACAATTATTGGCCCGCAGCAAGGTACAACCGCAGCACAGTCCCTTGCAAGCACTTCAGATATTAAAAGATTTTACCGCCTCCGCACCTCCCACGGTGGTGCGAACATCCACCCGCGATCCAGCCATTTCGCACCCTCGGTCCCACGCACCGCTCCCAGGCCCCGGTAAGCCCGCTGCAGAAATAACAAGGGTGCAGTTCTTCCTAGTTCTTCCCAGCTGCGGTTCCGCTTAACTTATTGACCCGCCTTCCCAACACCTTCCACATACACAACGGAGATCATAAAATCAACGGCGGGGAACGAGAGGCAGTGCAGGATGGAGCCGGCGTAAGCAGCATTGACCACCAGCAAAGAAACAGGGAAAAAATCGAGGGTTGTGGCTGGGGCCGAATTGCCCGACCCCGAATCGAACGGGGGGATTCTGCCTATATTTCGCAAGGTAAAGCAGATGCACACCATGTGCTATCAGGTGTCTCCAACCCTGTTCTGACCCTCGATTCATGTGAGCGCAGGCGCGGTTCGCAAATGAGCTGGGTGTAGTTGATCACCGGAAATTGGCGTAAACCTCCCTGAATCGAGAAGATTTTAGAATGTCATCGATATGCCAGAGTGCAGCAGTTCGGCTTTGCATTCAAGAAAGAAAAAAGTATCACAATCGCTGCAGTATCACCCGACCCCGAATCGAACGGGGACCTTCCGCTGGCCGTACACATTGCTATCCATGCGGAGCAGATGCACACCGTGTGCCACCGGGTGTCCCCCCCCTGGTTTGAGCTCGGACTCATGCAAGAGAAAGCGCACTCCGAGACAAAGCAATTCAGGGACCCAAGGAGCAACCCCCTCGTAGACTAAAATAACACAATCTTCAGAGGCGCAGCAATCTCAATCCATCAAATCAAGGGCAGCGAAGAAAAATCCAAGTGTTCTCGAACCAGCACCCGACTCCGAGTCGAACGGGGGCCTTCTGCATACGATGTGAACGAACAAGTTACGGCGAGCAGACGCACACCATGTGCTACCGGGTGTCTCCAATCCTGTTTCAAACTGAGATTCACGCGAGAGCGGCAAGGGTGTGTTTGGTTGAACGGAGTAGAGTTGAATTCGCGGAGAGCAAGCACCCTCTGAAGTGAATTTACAGCGATCCGCAGGTCGTAATCTCCAGGGAAACCCAAAGCGCAGCAATTCGGCCTTCACGCCCAAGAACGGGAGAAAAAGAAGTCGAGAGCGAATACTTATCATCCGACCCCGAATCGAATGGGGGTCTTCTGCGTACAGCCATTGGCTCGTTCGAAGGTAAAGCAGGCACACCATGTGCTATCGGGTATTTCCAGCCCCGCTCTACGCTTGAATTTACTCCAGCGCGGTAAGGGTGTGTTCGACGTGAACTTGGAACCAGCTCGAATTCGGAAAGAGCAAGCACCCTCTGAGTGAGAAAAAAAACCTTCAGCTCATAGTTCGGTGAGATGCCAAACCGCAGAACGTCGGTCTTGCATCCAAGAAAGAAAAATAATCGCGATGATTGCAACATCACCCGACCCCAATCGAACGGGGGCCTCCTGCCTATAATGTCTCGGCTGAGCTACTGATGTAAAGTAGACGCACGCCATCTATCGGGTGTCCCCAACCCCGTTTTGCACCTCGATTCATGCGAGCGCGGGCGCGGTCTGCAGCTGAGCTGGGTGTGGATGAAGTTGAAGTTGGCCAAAATCACCTGAAATTCGCGTAACCCTCCATGGATCTAGCAATTTTTTAATGGCAGGGGATCCAGTTTAGCAATCCGGGCTTGCACCTAGTAAGGAAAAACAAAAGCAAAAACACAAGAATGAATATCACCCGACCCCGAATCGAACGGGGGATTCCGCAGACCAGACTTTCCGGCCCATATGATGGACAGCTGCACACCATGTGCTACCGGGTGTCTCCAACCCTGGTTTGAGCTTGGATTCATGCGAGCGAATGACGACTTTGAAACGCAGGAGATTCGTCAGAGGCCAAAGAACACTCATCACAGCGTCGGAATTCCCTGAAATAGATCTGTCTCGGAACGGTGGGGCCACTCGACCATCACCCGACCCCGGATCGAACGGGGGCCTTCTACCTACCGTTGTAAACAAGCTACGGCGAGCAGATGCACGCCATGTGCTACCGGGTGTACTTTCCCTGGAATTATCCGACCCCGGATCGAACGGGGCCTTCTGCCTTCTCGCCAGGAGATCATGATATACGGCGCAGATGCACCCCATGCGCGACCGGGCGTTTCTACCCTCGTTTCGAACGTGGATTTATGTGAGCTTGGGAGGGTGTCTTGGCGGACGAGTCGTGCTGAAGCCGCCGTGAATTCACCCGTGACTCGAAAAAAGAGCATATAACGAGCCCTCGCGATCGTCCAGTTGCAATGTTTGAGCCGAGGAATTGGAGCTTCTCCCCTCCCAAAAACAAAGATAGGTTGAGTTGAGTTGAACTCCAAATTAGCCGGAATTATCTCCCGGACAACAGAAGTCTGGAGCCCCCGCGATCGTCCAGTTGCAATTGAGCCAGTTGCAATTAAGCCGAGGAATTGGGCCTCACTCAACCAAAACAAAACATGCTTACCAAAATCCATCACCCGACCTCGAATCGAACGGGGGCTTTCTGGCTATGATTACCCGCTCTGAGCAAGGTAAATTAAATGCACACCATGTGCGACCAGGTGTCTAGATCATCATTTCAGTGAAATGCCAGAGCGCAAAAATTAGGCTTTGCACCCAGGAAGGACAAAAAGAAGTCGACCGACCCGAGTACAGCACCATCAGACCCGGGAAGACGGGTTGAAATGTACACTTCGATTAACAGCTTCAGGTAGACAATGCTTGGTGTTGGGCGGAAGTTAAACAGGTAACGCACAGGGCATTGCCGCTGAGTGCCGCTGAAATTGCCGCTGCATGCGCCAAAATCTCTTTGCCCGTTTCGTTTGGTGCGGCCTCGCAACAGTACTACATGCTGCGGGAGCTGTTCTATACAATTCAGCTTGCTGGTGAATTCTGTGCATAAGCTCCAGTGAATTCCGCGCTTAGCACTAGGCGTGGTTTCAATACTGATGATACTGTACCCCCCATATCTACAGAGCCAATGCTCAATTCCTTTATGCGGCAGTTGATCTGTGCGACACGGCGATTATCGGTGGCTTCTCACTGACCTCCAGAAGACCGGATAACACTCCAACTACGCTTCAGTTGATCTTCAGCTGTCTCGATTCGTGAACTCCAAAAACGCAGCCCTCTTCATTTGTCACCAGTAGCCTGAGTTCAATGTTGAGTTGTTGAAATATTGGTCATTCCAGTTACTTTGGAGAAGGTTGACGAAATTCCGACGAGAGTTGGATATGCTCCAGCCCTGTATTCTCTGTTTAGTCGCACTGGACTCTACGACGCACCAGGAGTTCCTCGCCTGCACGTCGCTAGATACAATTGTTACCACTGTAGTGCTGAGTTTCTTGCACTACGCCCGGCGGTTCAACTCTTCAAGCGAAGTCCATTGGGTGACTTCAAGCATAACAACCAGCCGCCGCTAGCACTGTTATTCCTATTGAATAATCTCAACACTGTTACAGTACGCCCCCAAGCTACCCCCGTTCATATCACCACCAAAAAAGAGAAACAGAAAGATACCATGGTTTCCTGCAGATATAAACGACCGAAGGGTGCGTCCAGTCTCTACTCAACTCAAACACAACTCCTACCTACTCATCTCATCAATAGTTGTTCAGCGTTCATCATGAAGACTACCACCTGCTTTGTGCTCTTCATCGCCCTCGCCACTAACATTGCCGCCATCTGCCCCGGCTTCAACTTTGGCATCGGCAACAAGCAGAAAGACACATGTAAGGTGAATGGGTGTCAATGAGAATGTGAAGCTGAATATCTCGCCACATAGGGAATGTCTACGACGACAAGTGCAAGAAGGTCAACCATCTCACGACGACCGGGAACCCATGCGATAAAGGGATCTTCGGGTGCACCCCCAAGCCCATCACTTTGCTTACCAAGCAATCTTGGAAAGTGCCTCTTGCTGATTTTGTTTTTCATTGATTTATTGAGGTGTATAGTACCGAGTAAACATTCATTTACTGCTGCAGACGAAGGTTTGATTGAAGATCATCACTGGTTGAATGTTTCAGGTTTTTGGTGGAAATATTGCTGAAAAATGTTTAGGATTTTGCACAAATCTTTTGCTGGAAAAGTGGATGAAAAACTTAGAAGTTTTTCAGGACTTATTGACTCAAAGTGAAAAATGCAAAACAAAGTGAAAAAAGTTTTGAAATTTTTTCAAGTTTTGCACCTACTTTGTTGGTGAAAGATTTCTGCAAAATCCTTTTTCACCAATTTTTCACTGAAAAACTTGAAATGTTCAACTAGTGCATGTTTCTTCTCAATGAAGCGAGCAACATGTATTGGGCTGTGCAAGGATCAGCCGGACCGCAAGGATCAAGCAGGATCATGTTCGGATGCAGATACAAATGTTTCATGAGCCTCTTTTTATACATATGTGTACAGGAATAGGTGGACAGCAGACACAATGTTGTATTATTAGACGGATTTTCACACAACTGTGGGTCTCTCCACCTGCAGAACACATGCATTGAACACACTTGGTTCCCAGGTGTGTTGTTCTTTGCCCCAGTGTCATTTCACCTGCCTATAGTGACACACATCCACACTTATGATGCTCATACACTATTCATGATAACAAGTGGTATCAGGCACAGGTTTCATATAGGTGCCAGATATCTACCACTGAAGCATCAGGGAACCCGGTTCCCTGATGTACCGATGATATCACATCAGAACACAAAAGAACATAAAAGGCTGCTCATTTAGAGTGGCTGTTCATCATTCCAAAGATGCCCCATCAACCCACCATCACTGAAGTCCGTCTGGACAACATTTTAGCCTGTTTGACTGCTGCTATACCACTCTTGAATGAGCTAAATGATGCATTTGGCACACCTTTTGTGGAAGCTATTTCAAATACAACCCTTGCATTGATTACGGGGGTGCAGGTAGGTGAATCTAGCTGAATGTGCTATGAGGCTGACTCAGGATCCTAGAAAGTAAAGAGGAACAAAGATACATGTGCTGAGCTTATGGAAAACATCCATCGAGTACTATATGCCATCATCAACTTGCACATAAAATCTGAAACCACAGGATTTCTACCACCACCGACCTTGGATCACATAGGTATGTTTACTGAGTATATCTATTTCTATAAGCATTCTACATATGTGCTGAAAAGATTTCTAGGACACTTCACAAGATTCTCACATTTGTCGAGGAACAACAGGACAGGAACAAGATCAAGCACTTTTTCCACCAGAATGAAATCAGCACTTTGCTGAAGGATTGCCAGGAGGGATTACAGCAGGCTATGGAAGTGTTCAAGGTCAAGGTCTATGCATTGATGTTATGTATATGACTAATGATCCATTAGATCAAGAACACTATATTCAGCAACATTGCTGAGATGCAGAGGGCATCTGAAACCATGCATAGGGAACTGCTTGAAATCATTTCAGCCCTATCTGACGGGACAGTGTCCGACAGATCATCCTTTGTACGTAAACTACTGCTGTATGAATTCAACTTACCAGTTCAGAAACAGGTCTATCAATATTCCAATGCATCGCAACATAGGTAAAGCCCACACCAGTTGTTGGAATCATACTGAGACTGCAGGTGTCAAGCTCCAATTCATTTTCTATGTTGCCATCCAAGCCC